CCAGCCAAAGCAACGGCTCGTGTAGCACGGGGGAAGGGATGTGCCGCTTAAAGTCCGGGTTTACTTCATTTTGATCTCATGGTTCCAGGTTCCCCTGTCAGCCGCAACGCCGTGCAGTTTGCTCTGTTCTGCTGTCACAGCTTACAGCAGGTATCAGACAGGAAACTGCTGGAAAAAAAACTCACTTGTAATTCGGGATCCTTAAAGAGATTAAAAGCCGCAATTAGTTGCAATCAGGGAGCAATCGCATGGAACGTGTAAGTGAAATAGTTACGCTGACTTCTGGAGAGCTACTCATTAATTGGAAACACTTGAGACTTTTAAATCCTTAAAGGAGACAGACCAAATTGGAAAAATAGTGTCATTTTATTGAACTGTTTAAGAACCTTTTGTGAATTACGCACCATACTGGTGAAGCTTGGTAACCTGATGCACTCCTTAGGAGAATTCAAATCATAACTTTACACCTGAGTTGTAGCTGGTCTCAAAATGAAAAAAAGCTGATGCTACTCTAAAACCAGTATGTTAATCTACTAGTTCATGCTGGGATCCTCTAACACTTTTAAGTTGTGTCGATATCCATAATAAGCTTAGATAAGAGCAGCTGCCATATTTTTTGTTTGTAAGAGAGGTATTCTCATGTCTCTTTTTTGCTATCTCCAGATATTTCAAACAAAGACTCACTGTGAATCTTACTTGCTGTCCATTGCTTCTACTAGTTAGGATTTGCTATTACGAACACGAAATCATTACCTAGGGATTGCAGACAGGACTTTAGTGCAAGCTGTATGGACACATACAAACACATATTTCCTGTCCCAGACTCATGTGTCGTATGATGAGAGTTGATACCTACCCAGAATATAAAATTGGTTAATCTACTAATAATTAAAAGTGCGTATTGACATTCATTCTGTGCCTGCTTTTCCAACAGTTACTTATTTTTCAGAGCCAGCACTGCTGAAGTGGGGTTTGAGTGGTGATCTCCATCTGTGACTCGTGGTATAGCTGGGACGTGACCATCGCTGCGGGTTGATCGACTGCAAAGCAAAGGTGTGACTTACTGTACTTGAACTGTTCTCCATGGGCCAGCAAAAGTCCTAAGGAATTTTCAGGTGAAGAGTCTGGTGGCCTGACATATTTGTTCAGGTGGCATGCTCCATTTAAAAGAATTTAAAAGTCAGGTTTTCTAAAAAAAAAAAAAAACAAAACACCGTCCCACAAGCTGGCATCTTTTCCCAAATTCTAACTCACATAGTTATGAATCAAAATTTGACTATACATTTCAGATGGGGGACAAATTCCTGCATAAGGTTTATGAAGGAAAAGCTGCTTGCAATACCCATGTGGTTCTAGCTTCAGGACTACTGCTGAGGGACATCACTGCCACAACACAGACTTACTGTGACCATCCTGATGTATGGCTGGACTCTCACTTGTGGGAGAAGAGGAAGGAAAGACCTGGAAAGACTGCTGTCACCACACCAGAAGGAAAGGAGAGGTCATCTTTCATTTCCTCATTAGGAAGAAGTGAGGATTTGCGGAAAGAAAATAGTCTTTGTCTCTGAGAGTGTAACTTTAGCTATCTGAGTCTATGCAAAACACACCTAGCTTTCAAAGTTAGATAAGGTAAATCCTGCCCTGCAGCTTGCCCAATTGGAATAAGGTAGCAGTGAAAGGGATCTGAAGAGAAAAGGCTTGTGTTCAGGTTGACAAATGAGAAAAATTACCTTGAATTGTTCTTTTTCCCCTTTTAGTTGTGGTTTGAGCAAAAAGAGAAGAACATGGTTTTGGAAGAAAGGTCCTTGCCTTACACAGACAAGTGATAATTCACAGGTGTCTGCTCTCTGTCCCAAAGACAATGTGTGGTGCAATTGCACTGCTGCGTGCTTTCTGTGGGAGGAACGGGCTCTTCCATGGCCTTGTCCCACAGCATTGTCTCAGAGAGCTGAAAAGCAGGCAAACTGACAGCATCAAAAATGTTGCCACAGACATTTCTATAATGAACAGGTATGTGAAAAATAGCTACAGCCTTAATTTTGTTTTTGCCACTCTGCCTTAACACCACATATCCTCTCTGTAGCACGCTCTATAGCGAGACTGAGCACACACATGTCCTGCTCTCACACAGCCCGCTGTTCAATAAGAGCCTAACCACAAGAGCTGTGACTAACAGATGTGACCTTTTATTGGTTTGCTTATAATGCACTTGGTGATGGGATGAACCCACAATGTATCGCCTTTGCTTTGGCTGTGTGACCCGACAGGTTTTCAGCATCATGTGCTTCCCAGAAACGAGTCCTGGGAAAAGACCCACGGTGTAGTCCATGGGGAGGGCAGTGAGGAGAGTCATCATTTCTGAAGAGCATTACCAGTTCTGGCACTAATTTTCAAATAGCTGTGGGTTGCAGCTAAAACAGGCTAAGAAGTCACCAACCTGCATTTTATTCTTATCCTATCCACAAGCACCTCTTGCCCTTTCCATCTGCAAGGATTGCAGGTATTTACCGCATCTGTCCAATGTGTGGTGGGGAGGAGGAGCCAGGAAAAAAAAAATCGACTCAAACTAAAGTGCATGATTTTGGCAACAAAGGATTAGGCAATAATCTGAAGTTGCCTTGCAGATTTTAGCAAGGAGTATGGGGCAGACGAATGGAGATAAGCTGGGAGCAGCAACCTGCTATCACATCTCAGACAGGGAGGACATGTCTGGTAATCCTCAGTGACACTGGAAATTATTTAACAAAGCAATTCATTTTTTTCTTAGGACTGTAGTGAACATGTATCAGTGATGCCATGAAGCTTAAACAACTCTTTCAAAGAGAATAAAAAAATTATTTTTTCTTTAGTTGCCATTTAATGTTCATTTTTATGATTTCAAGCTTGGGGATGAAAGGGGAAGGGAAAGAAACACCTCTAAGCTGTGGGGTTGAGGGTACGCTATTTGATTAATTTTACAAGTCAAAGCTCTGGCACAAATGATATTCAGGAAACAAAATGTAGTTCCACAGGGAAACATGCAGCTATACTACTACATCTGTCAAAAAATAATTCAAGTCACAGCTATACATCGAGAAGACGAATGCTCAGAAGCTGTAATGTTGAGAGAGACCTAAAATAGCAGGAGACCAGACAGTAAGTTAGACAGGCCCATAATTTGAGATGATGGGAGGGGAAAAAAAAACAGAAACAAGAAAACAATGGGATAGTAGAGTTCATAAACAGAAACTGTAACAAAAGCCTCTGTTACTGGTAGTGTAGTGGAAACTCTGTGGAATACTGCATTCAGTCCTGATTAACTTCTCATCAAAAAGACATCAATAAACATAAATAAATTATTTTTAAAAAAAAAAGCAGAAGTGATGAGGATTGATTTATAGACCCTGTCATGTGAGTTGGCAGAACTAAATACAGCTGTGCTCGGTGTGCAGGACACAACGCTACAAAAAAATAGACTCAGTTGTGTGGGACAACTTTGGTTTACAGAAGTGAGAGCATTACTATTGTGAGGAGGGAGAAACTAGGATGAAACAAGGCAAAAAAGATTAGGATGAGTATTGTCACAATGGCTTGGCTGTAAGATCCACTGCCTGGTGAAGGAGTTGCTGTGGGAGACTTCTTGTGGTATTTTAAATAAGCACAACACAGTGTTTATCCCTTGGCCTACCCAGCACAGTGGGCTAGTTGATCTTTTACAGAGGAATTTTCCATCTTTAATTTCTGTGTTTCTAAAGCTTCCTCCTCTACAGAGCACTGTTTGTCACGCCAGTGGCAAACCTCGAGGAGAAGACTAACAAAATAGCCCACAGGCAGAGATCTAAATGGAGAAAATAACTGAAATATGTTTGTGTTTGATGCTTTACAGTCACACCACAAATCAGAGCCAGGCAAAGGCAGTGGCAACCAGTATTCCTTACACTAACCTCTGCTAGAAACCATATAAATTTCCAAAGGTCATAAGCAAGCATAACTTTCCTTCCCTCTCTTGGCCTGTCCTCCTCTACTTATCACCACAGTTCCTCTCCTATCTTCGTGTTACTGCAGTTTCTTATATCTTAGTTTCACCAAAGTCAGCTGTGATTGCCACTGAAAAAAGTAATCTCACACTGGCTTTGACTGTTAGCTCTGCCCCTCCCTTGTGCCATCAATATCTCTGTGACTGCACAGCAAATTGAACCAGGAAGATGAGCTGGGTTACAAAGATGAAACTGCCTTCACTGCTCGCAGAGAGCTTGACCTCCTTCACTGCTTGACAGAGAGCTTTGTGCTGTTGGTGGCAGCATCTAAAAAAGACAATGGGATCCAGTGTTGTGTGAGTCCCACCGCAACTTAAGAGTCTAGAAGAGCCTAGGGTCCAGGAGAGCCTCACTGTGTTGTTCTCTTAGAGTAAGGACAAGGCCTGGAAGTAGAGCTGCAAGCTTCTCTGCCATGTGTGTTGCCTTGCTGTGAGCCAGCTCCATGGCCATTTAGGATCTGTAGGCTGTGCCAGTAAAGAGCTCACCACGGTGGCTAATTTGGGTAATTTTGGCAAGCTGGCCAACAGCTCAGTTACCAGCTGCAGAGAGGTTCGGTATTTCATATATCAGCTGTTTGCTGTCACCTAGCTTTGGGTTATATTGTCTTTGAAAGCTGACATCATTCTTAAGGTGAAATAGGTGAACACTGGTGAATGGATGCCAAATCACACTGTTCTAATTACAGGAGGTTCCTAAGGTGTCTTCCTTTACTCATCCTGGACTTGATGTGATTCATCTCTTGGTTTTCAGTCTGTCTTTTTCTCACTTTCTACACCTCATTTGCAGACCATGCTATGTTCTGCAGGACAGAAGCACTCCAACACAGTGGAAGTCACTACTGGGGGTAGATTTCTCTTAGTGAGAAAAAAACAAGCTTTCCTCCTTAAAGCTCCTAAATGCATTTGGCACCATCATTTTGATGCAGCTCTCAGAGCCAGCTGAAAACAAATCTCTGTGCACATAGCAGAAGGACATGTTCACCTCCTGAGCTGGCTGGCACAAGAATCAGTTTAGTCAGGGGCCATGAGGAAATCATGTGCTGTACCAAAAGAGATCAGAGTAGCTCTGCCTATATTTATGTTCAGAGAGAATGTGGGAGAGACTTGAACCCTCAGCCATTCCACAGATGGCGGGATGATGGGCAGACAGGCCTTTTCCTCTAGGAGCAAGATTCTTACTTGTTGTTTTATGGCTTATGTTGCTGATTTGGCACAAGTGCTGACAACTTTTCCTCACCTCCCTGAGGTGACCCTGCCTTCCTTAATAAATGGGGGAATAATAGAATGCCATAGACAGAATATAGATGTTTACAACTTGGTGCTTATATACTCATCTGCTCTTGACTTCCACTGTAATTGCCAGGTCATCTTTTCCAGCAGTAGCAGTGCTGACCACACTGGAAGATGCCTTTACTGGCACAGGATCCTATTTTGTCTGCCCAGGAATGGGGCTGTTCTGGAGGCTATGTGGGGGAAGAAGAAAACCCTTGGCCATTCTGAGTTTATCTGCACAGAGAAAGGACCTGGCAGAACGAGTCACAACTCAGTAACTACATACCTCTTTCTTCTTGACCAAACTCTTGTCTCACAGAGTGTCAGTGACTTCTGGCATCGAAGTGATGGATACAGTGAGGTTACAGTGTAGGATTAAACTAGGGAGGGTGGGAATCCTTGGTAGACAAGTAGAGGCATTTGAAATGTTGACTGCATTTCAATATACAAGATGTATAGCAAGCAAGATGTAAATACCTATCATACACATGGGTTGTGGGAGGTATGTGGATAGTAAAGTGAAGGACAGCTTCATAGAATTCCTGCATGTTATCAGATGCTTCTGATCCCAAATTATCTATTGTTATCACATAGAGCCTTTGTACCAGACCACACCATATATCAGGAGGAAGGATACAAGATGCTAAAGGCACTGCATGCAGACTGTGTACCGACCTTCTGCACAGGATGGGTCTTTGCAAGTCAGAAGGCTCTGTGCACCTGTGGAATTCAGCTTGTGATTTCCAGAATAAATGCATTTAACTGGAGAATCCTATATGCAACATGTTCATATAGCTTATGAGCAGCACTTTATTGTGGCCACATGGCTGTTTATACAAACACACTTCTCCAGTGAGCTACCACAGTTTTTTGAACACCAGCTGTGGAATCTGTGTCTAAGGCTCTGTGTTTTTGTGGGGGGCAGTCATATCCCAACTGTGCCAGTATAAAGCTGGGTAAATCAGTTTGACACATCGCCAGTTCTCAGAATTTTTCTCAGTCTCTCAGGTTTTTGATTTATTTTCAAAAACTCTCCATGGAGACTGTCTTTATGTGGAATTTACCCTTCTGCCAGGCCAGACTGGAATTTCAGCCATTTAAAGGAAATATGAGATTTCTCTGTGTGTATGTGGTGCCAACTCACTAGAACAGACACAGAGACAACACTTGGGCTTTGCAACCACTAAAATTCTGTAAATAAACCAGCTTGCCTCTTCTCCTTCACTTCCTCTCTCCCTCCCCCCTTCCCTTGCTTCCCCACTATTTTCGCACCTTGCTGAAACATATGAAATCAAAATGGCAAAAACATCCCAAGGAAACAGTCATTTACTCTGGATTATTATTCACTGGATTTATGTACACCATGCCTTGAGCAAGCAGCCTCTCTCCCATCCTTCCCTTGCAACAGAAAAAGCATCTGCTGGGTCATGGCTAAGGAAAGGCACAGTCCTGACCTGTGGAGACAAACAGCTCTGGTGACAGCTCAGTGAAGCAATGCCTGGCTGGCACTGTGTCACACCCCAGGAGCTCTGCCCAGCAAGGTACAAATGCAGACTGACAGTGACAGACTGTGGTGTCCTCCTGCAGCTGGGGAATGTGCTTTATTAAGGGACTCTGCATTAGGGCTGCACCCAGCACAGGGGGTTGCACAGGGAGGGAGAGGTGATGATCAGGACTAGGCAGGGGAATTTGGAAGCGAGCTGCATGCACCTACATGTTGTCTGACAGATCCATTATCACCATGAATTATCAGCCTGTTTAAAAATTAGTAGTTCTACCACTAAGAGAGGCTTGCTTAGTTCAATTATACAATTGTTACAAGCAAGTGGAAATAGGAAACTCATTGTACACATCTGGCTCAGGTAGGCGAGCAGAGATCCCAGCTAGCTTGCGTTTGGTTATGAGGTGATGTAACATACTGAGGGCCAGAATGGGCCCCTTTAGCTCAGATTTCTGTCTCTGCCAGTAGCCTAACACAGATGCCTTAGGTGGACCATAGGAACAGGAAAAGCATATGGAAAGCTGACTTCTCTCAGTCATCTCCACCACTATTTTAGCCTGTATCAGCTAAGTTGAAGCTAGCACATGGAGCTCCTTGTGGTTCAATCACTTTTCCTCTATAATTGCAGTACCTTTGAATTTATTTTCACATCTGTGTTTTCCAAAGTCTGTGAAGGACTAATGTCTTGCTGGAGAAAACTCCATGGCATATATTCCTGATAGGAGGCAAAGAGAAAGAACAGCGTTAACAGAAGTTAAGTTGCTGCCAAATACACATCCCCAGCCTGATGCAAAGTCAGTGAAGTCAGTTTGAGCTAGCCTTAATGTGATTCCATATTGTCCCCTTCTCTACACACAGTGGTCACAAAATTAACCAAATAAAAGCTTTCCTCTCTTATAAATACAGAAGTCTAAGCAATAAAATTTCTGTCGTCTCCATTAGCCTTGAAAAAGACATTTTGCTGACATATAGGTATTTTTCTCATCTGATGAAAGTTGCAGTATGCAACAGTGCTCAGGATATGCACAGGATACACACTGCCTGCACCTACTTTCTTGCACAAGCCTGCCAGCAGGGACAAGAGGGCAGAAAGAACCAAGGTCAGCAGCTAACCCGGGAAGATCTGCATAGATCTCATAGCTGCAATGCGTTATTACCACTGTAATGAGCTTCCAGTGTTTACTGTACACACACAGATTGGTATGCAGGGAGATGGGCTGTCTGAGCAAATAAACTGAAAAGGCCAGGGTCCAAGTCAGACTGAACAATAGACTGGGGAGAATGCAAGACTCCTCTTTAGCTGGACTTCCCTCCAGGAAACCCTACTCATACTAAAGTCCTCCTGTATCCTGTGCCATTAGTCTGGGGGTGTTGACTCGGTTCCAGCTAATCATGTAAATTGTATTTGCAGAAGGAGGTGAGTGCAGGCTGCTGGATGCTCCCAAGAAAGTATTCTGGAAGAAACCTGCCTGCTCTAAGATGGGAGAAGAGAATGACCTCGGCATTCTGAGAGAGATTTGTCTGCTCAAATGCCCCCAAACATGACTGCTTCTTTAGTGAAGTAGCTAACCATGCATCAGACCTCAGAAATATTAAAGCTCCTCTCTTTCCTCTTATCTTGAGAAATGGGAATGGTTGTTCAAACACAGTGGTTCACATGACTCCAGCAGAAGGAGATTTTTAGACTCTGAGGCTCCCACTTCAAGATGTCTGGGATTGGAACTGTGTAGTATTTGAGGCTTACTGTGGTTTTAAGCTGACCAAGACAAAGAGAGAATTTGGACAGGAAATTTCTAGCTGAGAATTAACACCCAAGCCCAACCCTGGGTTGTAAGAAAACTGTTTCTCAACCTTTTGCAATTAACAAGCCAAATAGTGTTTGGGGGGGGAAATAAAAGTGAAACGGAAGTGGGAATCTCTGGAGCATTCTACATACTACTAGTACTTGTAAATTTTATCAATTAATAAAGCACCTGACATCTAATTAATAAAATGTTGTGATTTTAGAAAAATTAAACTACACATTATAATGACAGCCTTTTTGACTGAGATTTTGAGTGGAATACTGATACTGCTGTCTTCCAACAGTCAGAAATCAGCAAGTATACCATTGTCTGGACCCTTACATTTTATGGATCAACAGTTGTTCATAGTTCACAGAGATTAAATTGATTGATAGTGGTTTGGAGCTTGTAATAGTGGTCTTGAAGACCAAGGTAGCTAGGATTTCTGTGTGATTTTGTATTTTCTGACAGTTTTTTTAATATGCTGCATATTCATGTATGAAGATAATAAGGTCACTGTACTTGCTTTTTCAAAAACAATGTAAAGTGCTTTTTCTTTTTGGAAATAAGTGAGATATTTTCACCTCTTTTAACAGGATTTGGAAGTAGACTATTCCTATTTTTACATTTCCTGTTTCAGGAAGGAAATAGGGCTTTAAAATTTTTGTTACTATAGACTTTTCTTTCCTAGTTGAACCAAATCTGAATCATTTGTGATACTGAAAGAGTTATGCTTCCTGTTTGCTTCTGCTTAAGAAAAAGTTCTAGTAAGAACTTGTTGAAAATGCAGTTGTAACTAATTAACATCCAACTTTCTCCAAATACTGTTTAACATTTACTTATCAATTGAATTCCTTACATTAAACAGTATCTCAAATGCCTTTCCTTTTAGAAATGCAGACAGGAAAATTCTCAAGGGTGCTGTGAGCACTCCTTACATTCAACTGTAGAAAACATGTTTTCTCTAGGACTTCTGTCTCAGTTTATGGAATCAGAACATTTCTAAACTGTTTCCCAATGAAATGTAGCTGGGAGGATCCTGACTACTTAAAAATCACATTGACTCTAGCAATAAAAGCAGAGGCAAATGCTGCTCCAAATCTAATTTAGGTTGCAATATGCTGATTTTTACCTAGGATATGGGATTCTTCATGCAATTTCCCCTTTTAGCCCCCATCTTCCTATAGTTACATTGTAATTTTGTGTGTTGATTCAGCTGGAACATTCCACTCTTGAAGGGAGTCCATCCTCAGCAACAATTGAAATATTTACCACTTGTATAAGTTGTGAAACATTTTAGAATATTATAGAATAAACTAGCAATTTTCCTGACCATTACCAGCACACTTGCAGAAATGACAAATCACTTTCAGTGATATTATGTAAGCTGTAATTCACTAATTCACTAATGATCGTAGTCTATGGAGGAGTAAGAATTTCACATGGTCAATTTCATTTATGGGGAAAATGAAATTAAAAATTAGGAGCCTAATTTTCAGTAGGTTCTCTCAACTCCTGTTAAAAATCGGATCAAATTACATCTGCATGGTGAGGTCAAGCAGACCAAGAATCTGTAGAATAGATGCTCTACACAAACTGTTGCTGCTGTTAGAGGATCTGACATGCACACTAGGCATATTCCAGGGTTTTTTTTCAATTCAAGTCACCTTCATTTGGATGCCCTGGAGAGAATGCCTAATGAGGTCTGAGCATGTTGGATACACTTCTGAAGAACAGCCTTTCAGTTTAATTTCACTCAACCTAGCCCCTGCACTCAAAATCAGCCCCTGATGCAAAATGAAGCACAGGCAGTAGAGATGTTCAGGAGATTTTACATCAAAAATACAGTCCCAATCCAAACTAAAACCAGTGGAGCCACATCACAAGCCTTGCTGGCAGGATTGCTGCAATGGCTGTGCTCTGTCCCACGCTTCTGTCACTTCACTGCACACTACAGGCTGACACACCGTTCTGCTGCTTCCAGACTGGTGTATGAGGTCCTACTTTTAGGCACATTTCCTGAGGTGTAAAGCATCTATACTTCTCTAAACTCTGACAGTTTGTATCTGAAGGTATGAGAATCCATTCTGCTCCATTTCAAGACACGATTCAGAACAGCTGGTGACCCAGAGCTGCCTTACTACCAAAGCCCTGTGTTTGTGTTGATTTAAACATTGTTTTTACTGCTGGAAGAAATTTTTCCTGAAAGGAGTGCTTCAGCTGCATGGTAGCTGTGTCACTGCATAATGAAGTTGCATGATGTTACATCACTGTACACTGGCAAGGTGCTGCAACGGGAGGATTCAGATAGCAGCGCTCCCATGTAGCACTGGCATGAAGAGTTACAGGCAAGAGTGGAGAAACCTTTAAGGCCTGGTTTACACCACTGTATTTACATTTTATATATGCCTTTTATAATCACAGGTTTTTATTGTATGTGGACACACTGAAATTACAAAATCAGCTACCAATGTCCAGCCTCTCTTGCAAGCACAGATTCTCTTCCTGAGCTGACACAAATCCTCAGCAAACATTGTTGTCACAGGAACTCGACCAATAAAACCATGCTAAAACCATGCCTGCAGCTGTCTCCCCTGAGCTCTGGTTCCCCAGGCAAGGGCTCTTCTGCTGATACAACCTGTCAGAGTGGGCATGCACTGGGTAAAAACAACCAAGTACCCCAGTGACAGGGCAATATCAGTAGCTATTAGCCAGGGAATTACTTCCTAGGGTTAATGTAAGCCTCATGATGATTTTAACAGAAAACGTACTGGGGAGCCTGGTTTGAACAACAGCTATCAAAACAAAACAAATTCTAGGTTCAGCTACATCATTTTTTTAAAGCTGTGGCACTCCTCACTCAGTAGCCCTTTGATTCAGCCTCTGGTACGATGAGGCACCGTGCATCACACATCAGTTGATGCTGATCTGTGGCACTATACAATGCTGTCATTGTGGAGACAAGGAATGAAGTTGGATTGTTTGCAGGATGTATCAGTCAGGAGGCAACAGAACAACAAGCACACCAATGCTTAGGTGCTCTTTTCAGCAAAAGACTCAGCTAACTCATCAAACTACATACCTTGGGATGGCAGGATTAAATACAGCACGTCCTAAGAGGCTGGAGGTTTTGCAAGCTCCATTCTGCAGTTTACTGAGAGGAAATAAACCACCACAGGCATAAAATGTTCTGAATTAATAAAAAAAAACCCCTCATTAAATTAGTAACAGCCAACAGGACATGCACTATATAAACACCAGAACTTTCTGCTTTCAGAAGTAAGCAACCAATACACAGCTCCCGTCTTTGACAAATCAGACCTGCCAAAACTCACACACTGAATGTGAGAGTCACACTACTGACAGCTCCCTCCTGCCCCACCACAGCTGGGTTTGCACCTCCTGTGCTCACAGGGTCACAGCTGCTGCTCTGCATCCCTTGGAGGCACAGAGCTACTGGGCACAGCACAGTGTGACTGCATGACCTGCAGAACTGCAATTTTTTGTTTGTTTTCACCTCCAAACAGCACCTCTCTCATGCTTCCCCCTCTGTGAGTTACGATGAATGCACACTAAATTGTTAAAGGTATTTTTTCTGGAGAAAGTACTAATTTTTGTTACACATGCTGCATTTACTATGGAATAGATGATAGGCATTGGGGATGAAGCCTGCTTTGGTGTATTTTACATAATCTGCTTGAAGAGCTTTGCTTAAAAGAAAGTAATTAGTTTATACTATTTTGCATATCATTCTTATCCTATTGGTAAGAGCCCAGCAGACAGCGAGTTGGATTCAATTTACTTGTGGCATAATGTTTCACATAAACATAGTCTGAAGTCTTAATGTAATTAGATAATTTCTGCTGTTCTGACGTCGCCTCACACCCCCTTGTTACTAACACCGGATATTTTGGAAACTCCAGAGAAAGACAATATAGGCTGCCAAGTGGAAACTTCTTTGAGAGGCTGGCTCATGGCCTGAAATTATAGATGCACAAACACAGCTGCATTTGTGCTATTTCTAAAATGCCAGAGGCAAAGCATTTAATATACATTTATATAGATATGAAACACCCCTCTGGGGATTTACTACTTACACGCATGGAAGTCAACAGCGGCAGCAGCAGATAAATAATGAAAAAGTCAATTACGTTTTAAAGATCCTTTTAATTTTAATAGTCCATAGTGATGTTAATAATACAGGGAAGGGTATTTTTCAAAGCATTTATCTTGACATTTACCCTTATGATGGCTTGGTAATTTAGGCATGTGGTTGTGGAGAGGTAGAGCTAAAGCTCTAGCTCTCTGGAGAAAGAGAAATAATTTATATTCCAGTTTGTTAGTTTTTACAATTCTGCTCTTCTGTTTGAAGGCATTAATAGAGGCTTTTCTGAGTATTTGTGTTATACCTTCTCTTTTGTGAGTTTTAAGCCATATAAAATAGAGAAAGAAACTGCTTTTTGTTGAAAACTGCTGTTGAAACTGTTTTCTGTTGCAGTTATATGTGTGATCACATTGTTGAAATAAACTGTGGCTTTATGATTTTATTGTTATTTCTTATCACCTAAATCTGGAGTTCTTTGAGCTAGCCAGCATATTAACACAGAATGAAAAGACAGGCATAGCTAGTAAGGCAGAAATAAGCCCTCCAAAGGTGTCATTTCAAACCAATGAAAGACAGTAATCGCAACAAAAGGGGCTTGAATGACTGCAGTATTTCCTCGATAATGGGATATGAATCCTTTTGCCTTACTGAGATGTAACTTAAACTAATGGTGACTGTTCTCTCTCTGTGAGCTATTCTCATATGAAATGAACTGATGTGGTGGTTCTTGTTGCAGTTTTGGGTCACAGCCATGACCCCACAGCTCTCCTTACCTCCCCCTCTGCAGGCAGCCCGAGCTGCAGGAGCAGAGACAATGCCTGAAGTCCCCAGGTGCCCGAGGCTGCCTTGATCTGCCACTGGCTGTCTCACACCTGCCCTCACCACAGATGCAGAGGGAGCAGATGCGCAGCTGGCTTCACAGCTGGAGTGGTTCAGGTGGTTCTCCTGCGGCAGGAGAAGGAGCAGTGTGAGAGAGGCATGCTGCTGGGAGGCCCCTGGCACCCAGTGGTTAAAGGCAGGCAGTGCAGAGGACAGCGCTCAAGCGGGATTTAGGCTGTGGGAGACTGGAAGGGAAATGGTTAGGCAGAGTTTATAGGTTGTGTCACAGCAACATTGCAGAGAAGGGGGCTGGGGTATAGTGAGACTTTGTAATGAGCACAGAGCATGAAACTGATGAAATGTGCCTACAGCTGGTTTGTTGATACTTGGCATCACTGCTGCTCCAGAGCCAGCCCTTGATGTTTCACTCTAAAGGTTAAATTGCCAGAAGTCACCAAGATGGCCTGAGGCCCCCCAGATGTGCAGAAACTGCTCTCCTGCCAGCAAAGGTTCCCAGTAAGAGAGCTCATCATCAACTACTTGCTACTGAAGGTAACTTCCTCTGCTGGAAGAAAGAAGCCCTGCGACTGAAACAGGCACGTTTGAGGCTTGCTGGTTTACATTGTTTTTCCTTGTCTCAAAGGAAACATTTCTGGCAACTGTTGTCAACCAATGATCTCCAGCGTGTTTGAGCCTTCCCTGGGCGCCTTCCCTTGCTCTGTATTTGCAGAGTTGCTGCACAGCGGTGGTCGCCTCCAGCAGCCAAAAGGGAGATCTGGGGGCCCATGCTGGTGCTGGCCTCTGCCTCCTTGCCCAGCTCCAGCATGACCACATCATGCTAAGGGACACCGACATTCAAACGCAGAAGGGGAGGAAAGGCTTGTTTACTTTTTTGCTTTTATAAGAGCTATTAAATGTCTTGCTTTTGTCTATGCTGGCTTGCTCCTCCTGTCTTGTCAGGGCTGACTCTGTTATGCCATTGGAGCCGCAAATACCTCATGGAAAATGTTTTGTTGCATGCTTTAATGTGCTTTATAAAACCAGATGCAGTTCCATTGATTCCTACACTGAATTTTCTCCCAGGAGTTTTGTGAGCATCCGTGAATGGTTGTTAAATCTGAACGAGACCTTGAATAAAGACAATGGTAAAAACTTGGTATGATGCTTAGGCCAAATGCTCTCAGCTGGAAAACACTCAAAAAGCTTCTTTTTGTCCCAATGATGCTTTTCACTTTGAACACATTCATAATCTCATGAACAGTCTGAGCTGCCTACCAATTTTATAGGGATTGTCTTGCAGCAGAGGGCAAAGAAAATTACCTTAGATGAGCTGTTAATGTGCAATGCCTTGGTTACGAGTGTTAGGCTGCTCGCTTTCCGGTTTTAATAGAGATTTACAGCAGTGTGAGGCTGCTCACTTTCCAGCTGTAGTGCAGACAACTGTCCACAGACCTACAGAGCACACAGAGTATCTGCTGGCACGAGCCTTACAGATCACATCTGTCAGCAGTGGTCTTACTCTCTAATTTGCAGACCCATTTGAAGAGTCTCAAGTATCAGCAATCCAAATTGAAAAGGCAGTTCAGCTGCTTCAGCTGAGAGGCCAGAGAGGAAGGAATACTCTCATCTGAAAGGTGATTGAAAACTGACACAGAAGAGTACAAACACGAGTGTTAACCACATGGTTTGGCTCCTTCTTAAAAAACCTTTACAGTAAAAGCCTGTCGGGATGAAAGGTCCTTGGTGGGTAGAGATGGGGCCAAATAGGAAAGGTGTTGGTTGTACATGACATACATTTTGTTGGGCCACTGCAAGAGATGACAGACTGGCAATGAACAGGGTGCACAGCCATGCAGAGCCAGCCATACTGCTAATCATGCCCAGAGTGTATCCCCAGTGCATCTACCCTATTCTCACTATCACAAATTTAATATATTTCACCTACAGAAATAAATGTAGGAAACTGGAAGATGAAAAGAACAACTTGCCTAAGCCTGTTAAAGCAAGGATTACCCATCAAATCCAGTGACCAGTTCAGAAACTTTCCCCAATAACACAGACCAACCAGTTTTTCTGAACTGCAGCAAAAAGAAATATGTGTCAAAATCCTAATTACGGGTGGCTGTTTGGAAATCCTCTGCTGGGAAGCTCTGCAGGGCTTAGCCACAGACTGGCAGGGGCACAGAGCTTTCCTCTCTCATGCAGTCAACATCCAGGCCCATGAACACACTTGATGTCATCCCTCTACTGCATTCCCTCAGAGCTAAGTTCTGCATTTCTAATTTGGAAAAGGATAGGCAACTTTCTTACTACAAGTGCACACACCCAGCAGGGAGCAGTTACAGAGCAGAGGCTTGCCTTGCAGCTGGAAGCCCTTAAAGAAGAGCCCACTCCTCTGAAACACACACTCCACTGAATACAGGCTATGCTGTGGGGGAAAAAAACTAGTTCTTCACATCAAATTCTCAATATCCCAAGGATTTCTCTCCCAGGGACCCTTGAATGGACAAAGTGAGCTGAACAGTTTGGTTCTTTCCCTGGAGTGTAAAAGATCACAGTTCTCCAGGTAAGAATTGTAAGGAAGCTGTATTTATCACTTCCTTTTTACTTCTCAAGGAGAAAACCAAAATGAACAAAATGCAGTACTTTAGGGACAACCATCTGCAGATACCCTAGCCTGGCTCAACCAAGAGAGAGTCACATCAGTCAGTGCTCAAGCTGTATCACCCAGGCCTGGGTGCAGGCAAATTTGCCAGCCCAGAGGCAGAGTTGAATTTTCAGACTGAATGACTGGACAATTTGGTTCATGAGATCCAACTCATTCCCTGCACACAGCGCTGTGACTCATCTGCAGGCTCTGAACTCACAGCTGAGTCCCCTTGGGTGATACAGACATGAAATCATGGTTAAAAAAGGGCTGTAAGAAAACACATCTGGAGGTCATCCAATCCATCTCACTCCCCTAAGCGGGTTTCTCTTTTCAACCTCAGAGAGAAGTGCCTCTGGCACAGCAGATAACTGAACTGGTGTTTCTCAAACCTTCCTGATAATCACACTGATCACAGGACCAGCCTTCCTTACAGGATGCAGTCTCACACTTCATCCCTGATAATTTCATTTTGGAGGCCTTGACCTTGAAGACAGAAGAAGGAAGGACGGAAAGAAGAAGGGAAGCAAGGGGAAGGAAGGGAGGGAGGGAGGGAAGAAGAAAAGAAGGAAAAGATCAAACCAAATAAAGCATTTTACTAAGCATTTCTGTCAGCTTCAGCTGTTTCAAATTTGATATTAAAGAAATGGCATTTCAATTTTGATATTAAATCAAACCTGTCATTATTTCTTCATAATTATAAGGCTCCCAGAGTGAGGAAATTGCAGCAACAGAAGGTGGACTGGAGAATGAATAAAGTAGGATGCCAGCTGTGCTTACTGGCAAGCAGCATCTTTGTTCTGAATATGTGACTCACAGGTAAATGTTCTCTTGCCACACACACCCCTGTGAGAGCTGGCAGTGACAGTAATCTACTCTCCCCACGCTACACCCTCCCATCCTTTGCATCTCACCACCTACTTGTCTGACAAAGTTCCTCTGTACAATTAAGTCCTTAACCCTAGTGTGGTGGTTTGACCTTGGCTGGATGTCCAGTGCCCATCAAAGCCACTCTGTCACCCCCTTCCTCAACTGGACATTGGAGAGAAAATCTAACAAAAGGCTCATGAGTTAAGGACAGGGACAGATCACTCACCACATTACCATCCTGGGCAGAACAGTCTTAACTCAGAGAAATTACCTGAATTCATTACCAGTCAAAATCAGAGCAGGAAAACGAAAGAACAAATCCTAAAAGCACCTCTCCCCCAGCCCTCCTTGCTACCTGGACTTAACTTTATTCTTGATTCACTACCTCCTCCCCACCAGCAGTGCAGGGGTACAGGGAATGGGGGTATGGTCAGTTCATCAGATGTCATTTCTGATGCTGTTTTCTCCTCAGGGGAAAGATTCCTTTCCCTGCTCCAGCACGGTGTCCTTCCCACGGGAGACAGTTCTCCACAAACTTCTCCAATGTGAGTCCTTCCCACAGGCTGCAGTTCTTCATGAATTGCTCCAGCGTGTGTCCCTTCCACAGGATGCAGTCCTTAGAAACATCCAGCGTGGCCTGCCCCATGGTCACAAGTCCTGACAGCAAACCTGCTCCAGCATAGGCCTCTCTCTCTCCATGGGTCCCCAGGTCCTGCCAGAAGCCTCCTCCAGCACAGGCTGCCCATGGGCTCACAGCCTCCTTCAGATGTGCAGTGTGGGCTCCTCCAGGGGCTGCAGGTGGATCCCCGCATCCCCGCGGTCCTCCCTGGGCTGCAGGGGCACGGCTGCCTCACCATGGCCTGCACCGGGGGCTGCAGGGGAATCTCAGATCCAGCACCTGGAGCACCTCTTTCTTGTCTTTCTCCAGACAGCCTGGTGCCTGCAGGGCTGTTTCTCTTACACAATCTCACTCCTCTCTTCTCTGGCCACAATTACATCTGTGCAATAATTTTTGTTTTTTCTTCTTAGCCCTGCTATCCCAGAGGTGCGCCCACCATCACTGATGGCCTTGGCCTTGGCCAGTGGCAGGTCCATCTCGGAGCCAGTTGGTTTGGACTCTGTTGGAGATGGGGGAAGTTTCTAACAACTTGTCAAAGGCACCATCCCTGCAGCCCCCCGTTACCAGAACCCTGCCACAGAAACTCAATACACTAGGCATGGACTTTTTTACTAAAGTCTTGTAAAGTCACTGCTTTAGAAAGGCTCTGAAAAAATGCAAGTGTCCCTGTCCCCCAGTTAGATATGGCATTTCAGAAGTATTACTGCTTAGAAAAATTCTGCTTACCTCTCTCACTGTAGAAAACTTTAATCTTATTGGTTTGGGAACAAGACAAGCAGGCAGATTATAAGAGGTCAACGATGCAAGTACAAGTATATCCTGTGAACAATCCCCATTTCCTTTAGGCATACTTCCTCAGATTGTAACACAGTATTGCTTTTATCACACTGCCTTCATTCTGTTTATCTTTCACAACCTCCACGCTTACTGCTGATGTTATTAAATGCCCACACTTATCACTGCAGGACATTATGCATTACACAGAGAGCTCCATTACCTTCCTGGCACTCATGACAAAACTGACCTACCTTGATTCATCGAAAGACTGAAGCAGGGTCAAGAGAATGTGATTCTGGTTCTCTAGCTCTGAAAACCCGACCTCTCACCACTAACCCATGCTTTTTCCCACCGGGGTGCTATTATTTAACCCACTAACTACAAACTTTTCCTTTTGTAAACTAAAAATTAACATCTCACCATCCTTCCCTTCACTTTCTGTTCTATCCTAATGCGCAATATGGAATCTGTTCTTTCGCAAGAGTAAACCCTGTTCCCTGCCAGGCTTATGAAGCCCAGTGGAAGAAGCATTTATTTCTATGTTTGCATTTCTCGCTGTGCATATCCTGCTTACAAACCAACACAAATGGAAATGAGGATGGGGATGTGACAGAGGCAGAGATGGGGAAAGATCACAGATCAGCGGTGCCCTGAAGCCAGACGAGCTGGAAGCCACACAAGGCGAAGAGAAGACGTTCTCTCTCAGAAAGAGGACTCATTTAAACCCCTTCAGAAGTGAAAGACACAGCTTGCAAAGACAAAGTACCGTACCGCTGCGGTAGTGCCACGATAAATCCCTCACCTCCCGCTCCCGGGAGGAAAGCAGCGCGTCTACAGCAAAATTCCAGGGCAAAGCTATGCACTGAGAGCAGAAAACGCCCCGAGTGGAGCGGCAGAGGCAGTGCCACACACTGAAGGCTTCCCTGTCCCTGTCCCTGTCCCTGTCCCTGTCCCTGTCCGTGTCCCCGTCCGTGTCCGTGTCCGTGTCCGTGTCCGTGTCCGTGTCCGTGTCCGTGTCCGTGTCCCTGTCCGTGTCCGTGTCCCTGTCCCTGTCCCTGTCCCTGTCCCTGTCCCTGTCCCTGTCCCTGTCCCCTGTCCCTGTCCCTGTCCCTGTCCCTGTCCCTGTCCGTGTCCGTGTCCGTGTCCGTGTCCGTCTCCCTATCCCTGTCCGTGTCCCTGTCCCTGT